TCTCCCGCCGATCTCAGGGGGCGACTGGGCAAATATGGATGTAAGCGCTCCTTCAGGTAACCAGGTAACATGACTCATATCACCATAGGCAGATACAGCTGAATTGTCCCAATCAGCAGCTGGTGCCTGGGCTGTGCACACATGCATGTGTTGGCACATCTGGCCTTGTGCGTATAACAGAGTGATAGATTTTTTTTCCAAAGAGGGTGTTTTTATCATTTTAGATAATGCATCATGTGTGAAGGAGCATGGAGTATTTTCATAAGATGGGGCAGATATAGCAGTAATTTATCATGGCTACCAAGTATTTACATAATATGGTTTCTTCTACAGTACTTCTTTTTCCACTATAACCTTGGTAGCATTACATGAAAAACTGTACATCTGATATTTTTTAAAGCTGGTAGTCTCCCCTGCTGCACATATTGATGCTCTCAACCTGTATAAAGAAGCACGATGTGTTCATATCCCCGTGAACAAATGAAATTCCTTGGCTGCTTCTTTTATTAATGTTTAATAGGTTCAGATCAAAATAATGACTATAATCTCATCTGTGGGAAGACATCTCAGAAATGTCTCAGTAAGACCTCTTAAGTTCCCATTACAATAAGTGCAGGCTGTAGCTTGACACTGTGGCATGTTTCAAAGCTGATGCATTGTTGTGAGAGGTATTAAACTGACTTGCACACCTGCCTTGCATGTATTTGGGGGCAAGGTTCCTAGAGAGAACTTGCAGGCCTCTTGCCTCACAAGAAGATATGCAAATTCCAAATGCATGCACACAGGATGGATGCTCTCACTGGAAAAAGCCACTGCTCAGTGGTGTGACACATGCTGGGTCCTGGGATCCAGTTCAGCTATTTCCAGGTAGGGCTGTAAAAATTCCTGCCTGAAATCTTGGAGAATCAGTGCCAGTTAATGCTGGATGAGCCAATGGTCTGATTCATTGTAAGGCAATTCCCCAAATTCTCAGTTTCCCCTTTACCCCAGAAGCAAGCAAAGCAGTTGTACTACTCACTCAGACTGCTTTTTCATTTCATTGCTTAAGGTGGGTTTCTAATGCAAAATATCTCACGCAGATGGATGTTATACCTAAAGCTGGCTGTTGGAAGGCCTACTCACAGTGCTGTGCGTGGGAAGGTCGAAGGGTGGCTTCAGTTGCTGAAACAATTTAATAAGTTTCTAAGTGTTAGTAAACTGCACTTTAGTACTGTGAAGCACATAACAGTAGATCTTTTTGCACTCTCTTTTTAACTGCAATTGTCTTATTATAAACATAGAAACACAGCGAGTCAGAAGGAGCCTCCTGGGCCATCTAGTCTGACCCCCGGCTCCAGCCGGCTCCGCTCCCGACATGCCCACCATGTGCATGTCCAGCCTATCTTTGAACATCCGCACCGATGGGGCCTCAATGACCTCCCATGGAAGCCCATTCCACACCCTCGGGGTCCTAACATATGAAACATATAAAAGATAGATGACAACATGTATCCATATAACATAAAATGTTTTCTGTTTAATATTGTTCAACCTTCACCTCATATGTATCATATGGAGAGAATCCTATAATCTTATGCAATATGTCATTTATATTAACAATGAAAAACACCATATGCCTTATTGATACTCATACCGAATTTCTACTTTAGATAAGTATTTTACTTCTCAAATTATCTTTCTGTTGCTTTCAGTCACACCAGTTCAGTAAGTTTGGTCATCTTGGCCAATCACTAAACCTGATCAAACCATTCTTTTTCAATGGGCACACTAGGTGAATGTGAGAAGATTACATTTTTGGCTGCTCTTAAATTATTTCCTTTTGGATTCAAATGGTTGAAACATTCATCTTCCTTAAAATAATCTAGGAGACTGTTTACAGCTTTCAGTTGTGTAGATTATATGTCAAAAATGTTCTTAAAATTATGTAAGTAGATTTCAGTTCTGCCATATGTATATAAAACCTGTTCCTCACATTCCACATTTCTAAAAAAGAAAATATATTTTAAAAAGTTCCCGTTCATGTGGTGGTAACACTGGCCCATTACAAAACATTCACAAATTTCATTATTAATATTCATTTCAAGCATTTATTCTCCTTTGATGAAATTATTTCCTTTGATACCTTCTGGTTGTATCAGCCTTTGTGCTATTTATGACCCATTGTATTCTCCACAAGTATATGTCCAATTAAAGGCTCACAGTGATGTGAAATGTACTTTGAACTTTCCTTTTAATATATCTTTGTCTGTAGCATATCATCAGATTTGGTGTTGTTATATGCCATGGGCATTAGCGGACTCCTCTGTGGTTGCCAACTTAATCACTTGTTGGGGAGCAAAGCTGCTTGCATTTGGTTGCCTGAGAGACACTGATGAACGATGCTTTCTTTTGCAGTAGCAGGAAGAGGCCGAAGCCATAGTAGCAAGGAAGTGGTCAAGCAAGTAAGCCAGGGCAATACCCTGAGGCAGCCTCCCTTTGGTCTCTGACTGTTGGCTGCAGGGTACTTCCTTCCCTATCAGGCAGAAAAGGCGGGAACAGCAGAATAGCTGAACAATGGATATATCATATGCCGTAGCTTAATTTGCTCCTATGCCACAGTCATATGAATTTTAAAAAGAGAGCTCATAGTGCATTCGTTATGTTGGACAGACTAAGTTTACAGGCCTTTCGTTTAAAATTTGCTGCAATTACAGGTCTTTTCTGAGTCTGTTAAAAGCATGTCCAGATACCCCGGGTTGGGTCCCCCGTCCTGCTCACTTGCTTGTTCTCTCTCTTCTCTCTCTCTCTTTCACACACACACACACACACACACACACACACACACTTAGGAATTTATTCCCCCCCCCCCCAAATTGTACCTATAATCCTTCAAGCTGCATTTCCAATCATCCCAGAAGGGGCAGCTTTATGAAGTGCTGACCTATTTTGTCAGAAACATAAAGCAAAGCTGGAGAGTGCTGGAGCAGAGACATTCACAATCACTGGCATAAGTGGTATGAGAGAACCAAAACTGCACTACTTCCTTCTACAGTTCCAACAGTTCTTCATCAGCTTTGCCAGCCATTCACAGTGTTGCAGATTTTTGCATTAATATAAGCAAATTTGAGAGTGAAACACAGCTACCTCTGTGGGAATATAGTGCTAGATTGTATTCCTTGAAACCTGGTAAGGGAGGCCATGATCAGCTTTCCTCCACTGCAAACCAAACCAAACCAAACCAAACCAAACCAAACCATGCTTTATCTCTGCTTAGCTAACTGGTGACAAGTACAGGCAATGTTTGGACAACATGGTAAGCCGTGCATCCCATGGGTAATTACAGAAACGAGGTTGCATGTGCCTGGCATACATGAGGTGGGGAAAAGAAGTCACCATGACTTCTTTTTCTCCTCTGATCATGTGGACCCAGTCAGTAAGTTTGGCCTGGGTGCTTTCAGTTATGCTCACCAGACTTGAAGATCTAAGCCCAAAGGTCAGAGAGCATTCATCCTGGAGTGTTGATCCCGTAAGTCTTACTCTAATGATTTCTAAAGTGCACCAGTGAACGTACCACTGACTCAAGGGACAATTTCTACAGATTTTTTCCAGTATCTGTGTATATATGCAATGAGTTAAATTGGAACTTGGTTATACTAGGAGTAGACCCATTGAAATCAATTGCTTGTGTTCAGTGGGCCTGCTTTAAGACTGGTTCAAAGAAGTTCAGGTGAGAAGTGGACATATAGCCAGTATTTGCCCTGATATGTTCACCAGAGCAGCTATGAGAGGTCAAAAAACAATAATGTCTTCCTGCAGCACCCCTGCATGCTGTCTCCTAAAATTCAGGGTGATCCAGGCATGTATTTGTTTAAAAATTGCAAACCAAGCGGCAATCAGAACTGCTGCAGGGCACCCAAAAGGTCAAAATCAAAGGAGCACCCTTTGAGTGCTCCATTGCAGCTCTAGAAACCATGCGAGACACCTGTAGCACATGGATGTGACGCCTGTGGATGGATTCTCTCAAAGTTCTCCACCTTACCCTTGGTTTGCATGGTTCATTTGGATAGGTGATGATAATCGGAACCTAGAATATAGATATTAAATTCTTAAATATGTTAAAAAAATAAAAACATAGACTGCTTCTAACCATTGCATATATTTCAAATCTCACTGCCTGGCTATTTTTAAAAAAGTCAGTGGTCACTATTCATGATTTATGCTCCATTGCACAACTCAATTAACAAGCTCCATTCACAGGGTTATTTTGGCAACACTGTTGAAATACCAGTGGTGCTACTCTGGAGGGGGAAAAGGGAAGCTATTGAACAGAAAGATTAATGTTTGTTCTAGCGATCAAAACAGAGGGGAGAGAAATCTTATGCAGATAGAGGGGGTAGGGGAGCATCATGTTTATTTGAAGTGTGTATATGACAAAAATCATGAATGAATGTCAAAAAATTAACCTACATTTTTATATGAGCCTCCTTTTTTCTAGCCTGAGAGGACTGCACAAAAGGGAGCTGTCAGATATTCAAAGGAAGGCAGCCCAATTAGTGGAGCAGTTCCGGTCCCTAGAAAACTGAACATTAGGATTAGAGCTTTAACACATGGCAACTACTTGGGGTTTATTCTGAAATGCAAAGGCTTTTCTCCCCATGGCTTTTGCAAAATGCTTTTCAATTCCTTCCTTCCTGACATGAATTATAGACAATATCCATTCAGGGTTTCAGAGATCGTGTGTGATGAACCAGTGGCTTTCTGTGTTCCTTTGTTATTGCCCCTTGCTGTGGTCTCTTGTTGAGGAGAGTTTTGAAGCAACACAAAAAGTCATGAAATCCATTTAAATAGATGCCACAGCAGATCCAAGAAAAGAAGAGCACGTTTTTGGTAAGCAAGGCCGTCTCACAGTATACACAAGACTTGTGTCTCATATACAGTATATCTACACACAAGTGCAAATACTTTTCTTTTAATCTTTTTGTCTCTTTTGCTAAAGATGGAGCCTGGAACTCCGAACCTCAGAAGGTAGTGAAGCTGGGCGTTCTTCCAGTAAGAAGTCTGCTTGTCATGGAAGAAACCATCTGGGCTGCTTCTGGAGGACAAATTTTTATAATTAGTACTGAGACCCATACTGTGGAGGTAAAAACAAAGAAAAAGTTTCTCAAGACGCATGCCTTTCATACTGTGTTGTATAGTGCCATTCCTTGTGTGAAATGTATGCTTTTCATCCAGCCAGACAAAACATTTGCAGACATAATCTTTAGAAAATATTGTTTTCTGGTGCTTTGGCTTGTGCATGCTGCACTCTAGCTCACCCTGTAAGGAAAGGAGACCTCTACGTGAATAATGCCTCCAGGGTCTGCAAGCAAAAGGCTGGTTACACTTGCTGTTCATGCTTTAACACTGGCAGCGTAAACACTTGGTGAATTGAGATAAGCAAGTTGGATGCCAACATGAATCATCCATGATTAAAGCAGTACTCCCATGTCTCCCCTTCTCTTCCCCCTCTCTTGGTATTCCCTGTTCCCATTGTTAATTGATTGTAGGACAGCAGGGGAGGAAGACAGCAGTGTTGTGAAAATTGTATTTCCCACCAGCTGTGTGTGGATGCACAATCTGAAATCCAGTTTTTAATTTTGTGCTAGCAGCTTCTCTGTGACTTGAGATATTTTCCTTCCATGTGCTGCTCCTTCTTTGGAGACATGGTTACCCCACCCCATCTCCATCAGAGACAACATTTTAAAATTTATTTCAAGAAATAATGAGATCTAAGAGATCTATTTCTCAAAGAACATGAAGTCCAGTAGAATTGCGCAGAGTTTTCCTGAGTGCATTAAGTACAATGTTTACTGCATGAAAATGTTTTCATGCATGGCTAATCTTCCTACTGGTTTAAGTGTGTAAGTGTGGCACAAAAGCATGTTCTTGATAAGATTTTGGTAGACTGGATAATGCAGCACTATGCATGGAGGGGGTAATATTAATTCCACAGTTACTTAATGAGGTATCAATACTGAATGGTGTCTGCAGCACTGAGCCATTCAGATCGGATGAGCTATGCCTGGTAGTGTAATTGTTTTTGATTGCTATCTTTCTGGCAGATCATCTCTCTCCTGGGGGTCTCGTTACTTTTAATATGATTACTGATTTTCCTGCATGGAGGTAGAGGACAGCCATGTTTTTGGGATGCTTTAACCTGGAGTCCTGCACTGAACAGGCGGCTGGACCCGATGGCCTTATTCTTTCAATTCGTCTGTTATAATCCTATATCACATGTGAGGAGCAGATGATGCACTTTTGCTGCAGATAATAAGTTTACTGGTATTCCTTCTTTCTCCAGTAATAACTGCTGCTCCAGTCTGGTATGGCCAATACCCCAGGAGCATGGGAACTGTAATAGCAGTGGTCTCTTCCATGCCTCTGGAATAATGTGATCTGATATGGGAGGAGCTGAAGTACAGAGATTTGTGTGTGCCCTGGACTATTTGGCACCATGGGAAGGAATGGCAATATTTCTGTTTTTCTGACATTGGGATAAACACTGTTACCAAATGCTACAGAATAATGGAATAATACCATTAAATTTGAACTGCAATTGTATCAGCTTGACTCATAATAGTATTAATGGAGAAACTGCAAATGAGGCATTACCCCGGGCTTCCTGCTGCTCTGTGAGAACTAGGAAAAGAATGATATAAGGCCGGTGTCAGTACAGTCTGACAGCTGCTGTCCTCAGCTGACCTGTTTCGGTCCCAAAGCCATCTATGCCAGCATTCTTGCCTGAGGTGGAAGCGCCTATTGCAATAAAGGCCTGATGCTGGGAAGACCAGAACCCTCTTCCCTAGCATCACTCAGGAAAGCAATAGTGTGTCCTCACACACACTCCATCACTAATCGGTCATCCTGGTAGAAGACATCTTTGCTGGTGCTGCTAACTGGAGACTAGCCCTGTATCCATAGTACATGCTATTTGTAGGAGAGCTAGAAACTCAAGGCAATCAGGTAGGAGAATGTACTGCAGCTCTGGTTTAGGATCATGCTATGCATCTTCTACATCCTCGAAATGGAGCAAAGATGGCAGTTCCACGCCGTCAACCTTTCCTGTGCCCTGTCCAAGTTGGGACATGCCTGAGTCTGTGATAGACCAGCTGGGACTCCAAGATTTTTTGCAGGCTGCCTGCTTTGACCACAGAGCCCCACACATCATGATGTCTGTGCCATGATTATTTCCCTCTTCTTCCCAGCATAGATGCAGCCATGGAACTGCATAAGTTTGGCTGCAGTTCTTGGTAAACAAACCAAATGCAGTGCTTAAACAGAGCTGAGCTTTTCTCGCGGATTCAATACGTTCGAGGCAAAGGAACAAAGTAGCTGGCACTTTGCTCTAGATCTGTGTTTCTGTTCTGCCCACTGTTCTTTCCTTACTGTGTGCTTTTAACACAGGAAATCTGCCTCTTGGCATCCCTGTCACTGGCGGAGGATGGATGAACTTGAATGTGATGTTTTGCTCAAAACTTTATTGGAAGCTGCATGCCATGTATAGTGACAGAATTGATTTTTGTGGTTATAACGTGTGTGCAATTAGAAATGCTGTTTTTGTTTGCTTTAGAAATGCTTTCCCCAGAACCCAGCCTAGTATGATGTGGCTCTCATAAGGAGCTTGCCTGGCAAGAAAGGGAGTCTCCAGAAATCCTTACTTCCAACTGTGACTGGCATAGGATTGTGCCAAGCTCTGTGATTCTAACAGACTTCAAAAGCTGATTATAAGAAAGTCAGGACATGAACGAACTGGCAGGAGAGGGGAGAAGTAAGTCCAAGTGCCCCTGTGTGGCACAGGAGCCTTCCTCGGCCTGATTCCTTCCAGATGTGTTGGCCTGGATGGTCAAGCTGGCTGGGAGTCATGCCACTTGCAGTCCAGCACATCTGGAGGGCACCAGGTTGAGAAAACTGTGGCACCATGTTGCTGTTTCTTCAGCAGGAAAATCGCCCATCTTAGCCATTTCCGGGACTACAGCTGCTAGTGCGCTGCTGCAAAGGTCCAGTGCAAATCACAATGCTGCTGCAGGATCAGTACTTCAGTGCTTATTCCTCGAGGTTGCTATGCAAGCAGAGCACTGCACAGGCTCGTGATATTGGTACTGTAGCACTGTTAAATCTTTGGAATGCGCAACGTGTCTCTCATTCCAAAACAAAGCTGTTAATAACAAACAAGCAGGTTTTACAGTGTAGCTTTAGTTCTAGCACTCTGCTTCCACTGCTTCAGTTCCCTGGCTTGTGTGTTTCAGCATGTAGGTCTGGCACACCTGCTTTCCCATTGAACGGTCTGCTTCCTCAGAGTTGTGTCTAGGGCACAGAAAGCACGGCATTCATGTGCTTCCCTTTCCTTATTTGGAAAAATGTGCTGCAACATAGATGTAAAACAACTAGATTCTTGGCCATTTCTGTGTGCTGATGAAATAAATATGCATTTATTTATTTATTTTAGAAGCAAGCAAAGCCATCTAAATAAACAACATGCCCTGTGTTCTTTGGTGGCATGTCTAAACACTGCTTTATCGTTCTTCCTTAAAGTAGTAAGTCAGTCACTTCCCTTGAACAATGGGGCTCATTATGCAGAACTTGCTATGCTTGGGAAAGCGTGGTTCAGTCCTTGGCACAGCTCTTTAGGCCAAGAGTCACAAAGGAGTTTGCACAGGGAGTAAGTGGGAGAAAAGAGAAAGATGTGACTGTGCAGCAAGCTGTTGTCACTGTGGCTGGTCCTCTCAGGCGCCACTGTCTTGAAGAGATTTTGAATTTGGCTGCTGCATTGGAAATGTGTGCTGGAGCTCTGAGGTTGCCATAGAGTTGGCAAAAGAGAGATGGAGAAAGCCAGGTTTCTGTGTCATCTTATCCCCCCTTTTCCCCTTTTCTCTTCTTTCAGGAGGAGAAAATAAAAGATGGGGTAGGATAGTGCAGCAAAACAGATGGATGCCAGTGTGACAGCCACCACAATGCTCTGTTGTGGGCTTTCCCAGGGCAGAGATGAGAACTGCGGCAGGGCATGGGCACAATCACGTTCTCTTCTGGAAGAGGCAGAAGGGAGCTTTGCCCAAGCAGGCAGTCCTCCTCATCACGAGGCTGCCTTTCCAGCTGCGGGTAGCAGTGAAGCTCTGCAGCAGCTCTTCTCCGGCAGAACAAAGTTGGTATGAGCAATACAGCTCAGCTGCCTTCAGATAGACTATAAGTGGCAAGATGACTTTTGCAGAACAGGGGTTTACGCTAGATGACATATTATAGGTGTATTATTTTTTCAAACATGCTTACTATTGAGTAAGAAATGCTATTTAATAAATGCACGTCCTGAAGCCACTTGCTTTTGTATGACATCCAGATGTCCATAGGTTTCAGTGGCCACTGGATTTAAGGATTCTCCCAAATTAGAGAGCATGAGATCCAGCAAGAGAGCAAGCGAGAAACAGAAATGATGCCTACTTCTTTTTTCTACATTATTTGTCTTGGTGTGTGTATGTGAGGTTTGTGTTTGCCATATAAGCACAGTTCCTCCCAAGAAAGTGGTGGAATGATAACCTAGGGAGGAGGCAGATTAGTAAAGTCTACTTTGCAAAGCATCTCACTTGCAATATCCAAGACAGGCTGACTTCATAGTGCATGTGTCGTGGGGAGAGGCGTGGGGGGACACTGAGATCACACTAAATAATGTCCAAAGCCAGTAATGTAGAAATAAGCAATGAAAACAGAGCACCTCCAGAACAGGTTAATTGGAAAGACCAGTCTCCTTTAAATGTGTCCATGGCAATTCATTAAACCTCTTGAAATTTCAGGAGAGAAATGTACAAGCTGAACCATGTGTTATCTGGAAGTATAATAAGCTAGCTGTTAAATACAGAATGTGATAAGAGAAATGCCTTTGAAATTTGTTAGCAGCTGTAACAACAGAACGGATCCTTGCTTGTTCATTGAAGAAACCTGAGAGATAATCATGTAAGAGTCTAGTGCATATATTATTAAAACTTTGAGAAATAGTCTTCTTGCTACTAGCTGGGAATAAATAAGACTCTGATAAGACTTTGTAAAGGAAGTGTATATTCCTGACAGGTATGACAGCAACCAAGGCCAAAATTGTATCAAATAGGGCACAA